TTTTTTTTTTTATCATAATATAGTGTTAGAATATAATTCCAACTATCCCATCCGACTTTTCAGTTTGTCACCACTCTCTCTCTCTCTCTCTAACAGAAACATCGTCAATAATGGCGACATCCAATCCCAAGATTATTCTCGACATCCCACCTTACCTGCGCGCCTACGAAGACGGCACCGTCGAGCGCCTCCTCGGCACCGAGACCACTCCTCCGGCAGACCCCGACCCCGCCACCGGCGTCTCCTCCAAGGACGTCGCCCTCTCGCCGGAGTCCGGCGTCTGGGCCCGCCTCTACCGCCCCGCCGGCCCCCTCCCCGGCCGCCTCCCCCTCGTCGTCTACTACCACGGCGGCGCCTTCTGCATCTCCTCCGCCGCCGACCCCTTCTACCACCACATGCTCAACGCCTTCGTCCGTGAGGCCCGCGTCCTCCTCGTCTCCGTCGACTACCGCCGCGCCCCGGAGTCCCCCCTCCCGGCGGCCTACGAGGACTCCTGGGCCGCCCTCCGGTGGGTCGCGGGCCGGGCCGATGACTGGGTTCGGGACTCGGCCGACCTGGGCCGTGTCTTCCTCGCCGGGGACAGCGCCGGAGCTAACATCTGCCACCACATGGCGATGCGGGCCGGGTCGGAGGGTCCGGGCCTCGAGATCGCGGGGATCCTGCTGGTGCACCCTTACTTCTGGGGGGAAGCGGCGGTCGGGGCGGAAGCCGAGAGCCCGGCGTTCAAGTCCGTGGTGGACGCGTGGTGGCGGTACGTGTGCCCGTCGGACAAGGGCTGCGACGACCCGTGGATCAACCCGTTAGTGGACGGGGCCCCGGGACTGGACGGGCTGAGCTGCGGCCGGGTCCTGGTGTGCGTGGCGGGGAACGATATTCTAAGGGAAAGGGGGAGGATGTATTATCGGGCCCTGGTGGAGAGCGGCTGGGCCGGAAAGGCCCAGATCCACGAGACGGACGGGGCGGCCCACGTTTTCCATATTATCGAGCCCGATAGCGAGGATACCAAGAAGCTGATCCAGAAGTGCGCCGAGTTCGTTAACGGCGTGTGAAAGTGGTGCGATTATTATTACTATTTTTTTTTTTTTTTTTTTTTTTT